GTGGTGTCACAAAGTGTTATGATCAGTGTGTACCCTTTTATGACATTTGTCATCTCATCTAGCATTTTGTTCCATCCAAATGTTTTTGAGACAGGGTCTCCCTGTAGTCCCAGCTGGCCTGGAACTCACTCCGTAGACCAGGCTTGCCTCTGTCTCACAGAGATACACCTATCTTTACCTCCCGAGTGCTGGAATTAAAAAGGTGGTACTACTATCCCTGGCTCAAAATATTTTTTTAATATTTTACTGTTTTTGAAACTGTACTGTGTCTTTTTTGTTTTTATGTGTATGAATTTTGCTTGCATGTGTGTCTGTGTGCTTTGTGCATGCCTGGTGCCCAAGGAGGTTAGAAGAGGCTATTCCATCCTGGAAACTGGAGTTACAGACATCTTTGAACCAAACCCAGTCCTTTGTAAAAGCAACAAGTGCGCAGCTAGGCTTGGTCCCAGCACTGGAGAGGCAGAGGCAGGCAGAGATCCAGGCCAGCCTAGCCTACATAGCGAGTTCCTGGACAACTGGGCCTACAGGAAAACCCTGTCTAAAAAAAAAAAAAAGAAAAAGAAAAAGAGCAGCCTGAACCATCTCTCCAACCCCTGGATTTGTCTTTCAATCCATCTATATGTTTGCTGTGTAGAAGCCTCCCTGAAAGATATCTTTAATAAATGATGCTGGGACTGGAGAGGTAGCTTGGGGGAGTAAAGGTGCTTGTCACATAAGCCTAGAGACCTGAGTCGATCCCTGGAATCTACATAATGGTGGAAGGCTCCATAAACTTTTCCTGACTTGCGTGCATACTGTGGCACACCCCTCCCCATCATGTACATACACACATTAAATAAATAAGTAAATAAATAAATAAATAAATAAATAAAGATGATGCTAGAGAAATGGCTCAGTGTTTAAGAGCACTGTCAGCTCTTGCAGAGGACCTGGGTTCAGATCCCAGCACCAACATGGTGGCTAACAATCATCCATAATTCCAGTTTCAGGGCATCTGATGCCATCTTGGCATCCATGGGCATTGCACACTATGGGTGCTCTTACATACATGCAGACAAAAAACTCACACACATTAAAAAAAAAAGACAAATGATGGGACTTTCAGTTTTTTCTCCCGGTGCTGGGGATGGAACCCAGGCACCTATGCACTGAACACATACTATCCCACTAAGCTATACCCTCAGTCCTTCTTACTCATTTTAAGTAATGTATTTTATGTGGAAGGGTCTAGTCCTTTAATGCCAAGGAAAGCACAACCCTGTCATTTAAATTAACTAACACCTTCAGCAGTAATTCCTGTCTTCAGTTAGAGCAAGGCATTGTTTAACAACAATGATACATTCTGAGAAATGCATCTGCAGGCAATTTCATTCTTATGCCCCCTCATGGGGGTCAGACATGGTGGCACATACCTTTAATCTCAGCACTCCAGAGGCAGAGGGTAAATCTCTGGCTGGCCTGGTCTACATAGTGAGTTCCAGGCCAGCTAGGGCTACCTAGTGAGACCCTGTCTCAAAAACAAAAAAACTAAGCTAGGTGTGGACACACACACACATACACACACACACAAGTACGTCGTTATATACACTATTCTTTCTTTTTTTTTTTTTTTGGTCTTTTTGAGGCGGGATCTCCCTATAGCCTCAGCTGGCCTAGAACTCACTATATAGACCAGGCAGGCCTTGAACTCACAGAGATCCATCTGCCTCTGCCTTCCGAGTGCTGGGATTAAAGGTGTGGACCACCATGCCTGGCAATATGCACTATTCTTTAATATGACTCGCAGCACAGATTTATTTACACCAGTATCACCACAAACATGAGTAATGTGGGGCACTACCACCTTAGAATAGCTGTGATGTCACTAGTCAGTAGAAAAGGCAGTAGAAAATGTTCAGCTCCATTATAATCTTTTGAGAAAACCATCATAACTGCAGTCTATAATTGAAACAACATGCTTTCTTTTTATTTTATCTATTTTTTTTTTTTTTTGGTTTTTTGAAGCAGGATCTCCCTGTGGCCCCAGCTGTCCTGGAACTCACTATGTAGACCAGGCTGGCCTTGAACTCACAGAGATCCGCCTGCCTCG